GCTTTCTTTTCTTCTTCCGAGTTAATAGCGGCGGAAGTACTTTCCTCGACTCCAATTGAAGTTTTGTTGTTTGAGTTTGAGACGTCATTTGTGCTTACTTGAGATGTCGTCATATACCCTTCTTTTCTAAGTTTCTCACGAAGCTGTTTCGGGCATGTGCACATTTCCATCAAATTCAAGACGTCATGGATCATCACTGATATTTCTTTGAAACTAGGTCTTTCTGTAGGTGTTTGTTTCCACGCCTTCCCAATGATATTACTCAGTGGGCAGTCTTCGGGTATTTCCAATCTTTTTCCACCTCCAACAAATTTCAAAATAGATTCCGAGTCGGGGTACTTCTCTGGCGAGTAACAGTCGTGCCCAAGCCAAATTTCAAGGGAACATATAGCAAACGAATACACGTCACTTTTTAATGTCATTTGGTCCTTTCTTGATATCTCTGAATGTTACTACTCGATAAGAACTATAAATATATAGTTATATATCTATAAAATTGTAATATAATAATAATATTATATTATTATATTATATTATAGAAACTAATTTTAAATTAATAAAACAAACCTGGCGCCATATAAACTGGAGTCCCTATATTTTGAAGTGCGATTTTATTGGACGATTCTATAAAAGATCTTGATGTTCCAAAGTCACTGATTTTTGCGGTCGTTTGATCATGTGGATTATTTGAATTGACCAACACATTATCCGTCTTCAAGTCGCGGTGCAGAATATCATTTTCGTGTAAGTACTCCATCCCCTTTGCAATGTCTTGGCAGAACCGGACTTTCAGTAAATTTGGCATTGCATTTGTCTTCATATACTTTCTTAAAGACCCCAAAGGACAGAATTCGGTGACAAGACATAAAGTGTCTGATGTAGTCACCGATCCAATAAAATTGATAATAAAAGGGCATCGAATACGCTCCATCATTTCAGCTTCTTGCACAAAGTTGGGGAGTAATTCAGATAAACTGACTAAGTCGGTCTTCATCACTTTTACTGCAACATCAGCACCTCGCCATTTCGCTTGGTAGACAATCCCAAATGTCCCTCCGCCAATAGGAGGGTGTTGCAAATGAATTTCTTCGTAGTCGAGTTTAGTGGAGAGTGCAGTTTCAGTGTTCAAGGTGAGGTACACGTGAAACTTAGTTATTTTTGTTCCTTTACTCTTACTCTTATTGTTAGATGAATGGACTGAAGGCGTCTTCCCACTCTTTGAATTGTTTTGCGACTGATTTGCCGATGTTTTTGACAGTTCTTTGCTCAGAGAAGATGTTTGTTTTGTGTTTTCCGAGTTGTTTGATTGTGAGAAGTCTTCGATCAAGTCGGGGTGGTCTTTTTGAATTTCCTTATACAGATTCGACAATTTACCAAATCGAAGAGTAATGGGAATCTTCTCTACTAACATTGTTGTGCACTTTATCATGATTGTAAATGTCAAATCAGCACTTTCTCCGGGTTTAATAGTACCTGTAAATGGTTTACACGTTAACTCATATTTGTTATAGTCCCCACAATGGACTGTGAAATAGAGTGGGGCGTGTTTCCAAGTGTTTTTCAATTCAAGAGTAGTTAAGAGGGGGACGTTAATTTCTGGGTGTTGAGAACCAAGGTCCAATTCGTGTTTAGAGAATGAAAAATAAGGGTTTTCATTCGTGATATCTATGTATTTGGAATGAGTCTTGTCGAAAGGAATTATAACATTCTCAACAACTACAAACTCGTTCTGTGCTATCTGTTCTTTGATCTTCTTATTCAATTTTTTGTACTTGACGTAGATGATCGTAAATAACACAAAATAGAAGATCAAGTGGTTCAGCAAAAAGTCGCTCCAAATCACTATTTGTAAGTGACCAGTAGACACTCTCCAACAATTTGCATCGCCGCTATGGGGGTAATACCCTTTAATACATTTACAATCGACACATCCGTCACCATTATCACACTAACATATTAATACTATTAAATATAGTTTTGATATAGAATATTAATACCATTAATAATATTATAACATTATTTGTATCATCAACAAACGTCTTCACCATCATCGACTACATTATTGCCACATTTCGTCGATAAACACCCAAAGGAAGGCGTCGAATACATCTTATATCCTTCAGCACAGAAACAATGATCACACCCCATGCCACCATCACATCTATAGGTTACACATTTGCATTAGTTTGGTATTTTAAAGTTAGAACAAGTAGATAAGAGAACTTAAGAATATATGTACTTCCACATACTATTAACACGTCATTTGAAATACAAACAAACTCTTCATAGTCATCCATCACTCCATTACTACATGTTGGTAAGGCACATTTGTATGTGTCGTTCGCATATATGGGAACATACCCATCGAGACACATACAAGTAGTCGAACACACAACGTCCGAGTATCCCGCCACACTTAGGTCGCATTCTTCTCCTTCTTCTTTAATGCCATTCCCACACAAACTACATGTCCCATTCAAATATATGTATGGTAATTCACACTCACACTTCCCACTATATTCACTACATACACCATGTTCCCCACATTCATTACAGATGTTTGTAATTGTCAAATTGAGTAATCCATCATACTCTTCTTCGAGTTCGACTTGAAGGAAATACAGCACATCTGCCTCTAATTTAATTCGCATGAGACTTAAAAGACTCTTGTTGGAACACCCACTATTTCGAGAAGTTACACAAACCAATTGTGTGGCATCATCGCAGTCTAAATTACTCAAGTCGTCTGTTGTAGTCTTTCCAATCACTTTCATCAACCGCAAATTGACAAAGTAGTCACTTGAACTCTCACATGTAGAGATCTCGTGGTATCTACCTGTCCCTTCCAATGTATACCATTTTGAGTATCTTGACTCAGTGCTACATACAGAACTCGACTTGAACATGTGTGCTATGTTGATTTCAATGGTGTAGTCCTTGTTCATCACATGCCCCTTCTCGAAGGATTCCAATCTGTATGTACATGGGTGTGTAATTGGTGATACAAATGCGTCTACGGCGGGTATAGTCTTCTCTGCATATTTAGTATGTAAAAAGATATACAAAGGTACATTCTCTTGTATTTTAAAAATCAACACTGGTGATTTGATATTGTTTGTAAGTTCATCATTACTCTCCACACACTTCCCATTGAAAACATTTCCCGTCTCATTTGTGCATCTGTCTTGTAACACTAAAGAGTAATCATTTCCAAGAGATAACCCATCTCTTTTGGCTTCAAACAATTCATTCGTCGAATATTTTTTGTCGACTTCAAAGACAACATATCGAGTAACTGGACTTGTAAGTTTAAAGTAAATACCAAAGGTATATGGCGATGCCGGATTCACTTGCTTTGAGCACGCATTCGACATTAAAACCTTTTTAAATGGACATTCAGGGACATGGATAGACCCTCCATTATCGAAAAATGAGTCATTTAAGACAATGTCATTCAAATTGGGGTATCCATATTTGGCATATTCACTTGCTACTACTGTAAGAAACTGGGAACAGGAGTATAAGAGGTAATCAGATACATTCTGACAGTTCCCATACCCTAACCAGATGTAGTCACGCTGACAATACTGACAGTCTGAAGTATACCCCAAAGTTGTATTACATACATTGCATACATCAGGTGAAGTGCATCCAGTTAAACATGCCTCGTTAAATGAACACATTATTTTGCAATTCCCTTTTTCATCTGCATTGTACCCATTCATGCAATAACAGTCGTCGCCACAACCAGGAGTCCCATCACACTCTTCTGTGTATTCGTCAAAAATGCCATCCCCACATTCTGAATTGAAATTGGCCGATTTGAATGCCACGGAGTTGTAAATGGAAAGTGCAGAAAAGACGAAGAGAGTAAGAAAAACAAACTGTTCTTTCATCAAAGGCGAAGTGCTAAAATCAAGTTTTTGAAAGAAATAATATTTTAACTTCCATTCTTTGAATCAAATAGTTGGAAATCATTGTTAAATTATACTAAAAGTAGTATGTTGTTACCAATGTTTAGTGTAAAACTTCGGGTGAGTCTACATAAACTACAAGAAGACCCTTTTCTTTTTTGCCATTTTACAATGGAAAAGTAGACGGAATGTTGTATAAGACAAATAATGGTAAACTTTAATCGTCAAGTTACCATAGCAAATGTTACGCTTTTGCTTTAACAAAAACATACCATTTGATCAAAAAACAATGTGTTGGAATTTTAAAGGAAAAAATCGGCAATTCTACTGTTTATTCTTTTTATATGATTTGTTGTCTAATCTGGTAAATTCGGGAGAATCATTGTTCATGTTGTTAAAAAGAAATTTATTAAAATACATAAACTATTATTTTGTAGTTAATGTTTTATTAATTTTGAAAATTAATATTATATTAGAATGAATAACAAATAAAAATTAATATAAAACTGTTTCCATTCATTAATAACAAATTGTTTTGTGGGGATTACACACAGATTATAATCTAATTAATTGGGGTATAATTATTAATACCAAAAATACTATAAAATATAATTTAACTTACTATTTTAAAAATACTTAAATCTTTAAAATATTTTAGTTTAATTTAATTAAGGCTAAAACATTTAAACCATAACAAAAAACTACTCAAATAAAATAGTATAATTCATCCATAACAAATCCTATTAAATAGTTTCAATTATTATTATAATTGAGTTTATAATAATAATATAATAATAATAAAAATAATAAAATGTAATAATATAATATATATTATAGTATAGTATAATAAAAATATTTTTGATGTATTAACTTATAATTATTAATCTAATATATTGAAATAATTTTTAGAAACTCTTTTTTTATACAAAAATAGTATAATATTTTTACTAATAAATATAATAAAACAAATCCCGTTTATAATAAAGTTTATTAATAAAAAAAAACATTTTGAAAAAATAATTTTTATTTTGAAAAAATGATTGTTGTAAATTTGCCGAATAAATAATTAACAATCCACATTATAATAACATTTATTTACCAGTTTGATTGGATCTTGAAAGGATTTTTTTTAAAATTAGGTTTGATTTTGTTTTCAAACTATAGTTATTATTATGCCTATTTTTTTTATTTGTTCAAAATTGCAAAAAAGCAATTGGATCTTTTTGCTGTGGAACTATAATTAGTCGAATTATTAAATAAAAGAATTCAAACTACAAATTATATTATAAATAAATTATATGTATGGTTAAATTGTTAAAATTTCATAATTCGACAAATAAGGTTTGTAATATTATTCAAAAAGAGTGGTTTTGTGTCACATTCCTTCTATTCAATTCCCACACAACGTCAAATGCCAATAAACACAGACAAAATATGACAAATTGCGCTGATGATAACCGGCTGCCAATTCTTTTATTATTTTTTTTTTCGAAAAATAATAGAAAAAAAACAATTTTTATTTAATTAAACAAATTGGCAAAATGCGCCTTTATAACAATAAAATGCACTTTTGTACTACTTCATCTTATTCAGTCTTAACTGAAAACAAAACAATACAAATAGCATAAAGGTGCTTTAATTGATTTTACACATTATTACTGACCCAAATAATTTTTTTTAACTCATTTTCATCGTAATTAAGCGTTTTTAAACAGTGATAACTATAAATAATGGAAACATATATAAAATCCAAATAAAAACGGCATGGAATTTGTAAAAAACATTCGATGATTGCAACAACTTTCCTCTTAGTTGTTGTAGTGACTTGCATCATTTTATATTACCTCCGTCCAAAGGGATATCCAAAAGAGAAAGAAGGTGAATGGATAGGTGAGGCCAAACCTGGAGAGACTCGTATACTTAGAGGGTATAAAGGAGTAGAAAAGGTGACAGACTACACTCCACAAGGCAATAACACCATTGCTGATTTAGTGAACAGTTTTTCTAAAAAGGATAAAAAGGAGTTTATTGGCTATAGAGAACAACTTGAGAAAGTTTCGGTGAAGAAATATACAGTGAATGTCAATGGTAAAGATGTTGAAAAGGATATATATAAGTACAAGATGTCTGACTATAAATGGTTTTCTTCAATTGAATTTTATCACCTAATATGCAGACTCTCGGCTGGTATACGCCATATAGGCTTTAAAAAAGGCGACAAAATTGGGATGTTCTGTGAGACTCGATATGAGTGGATGGCATTATCTCTTGCCTGTGCAAGACAAGGAATTCTCGTAGTAACAGTCTATTCTACATTAGGAGAAGAGTCTGTTAAAATTGCACTTGAAGAGACGAAGTGTAATGGACTGATAGTTTCTGGAGACACTTCAGAGAAGCTAGAAAAGATCATTCCCGACTGTGCTGGTGATGATTTCAAAGTGATTGATATCGACTATGATGGCGCCAATAAACCATTGGGTACCAAGTCATACAAAGTCACCAGTTTTAAAGCATTAAGCCAATCTGAAGAAGATGAAAGTAACACTCCAAGTGTTACAAGTGATGACACTGCCTTTATCATGTACACTTCTGGGACAACGAAAAGTCCAAAAGGCGTGTTAGTTGGACAGAAACAAATCCTTCTCTTTGCCAAAGCTTATAATGACTCCCTTGATTTAAAAGAAGAGGTGTTACCAGCCTATTTACCATTGGCTCACATCTTTGAATTATGTCTAGAGTTTGGAGTGATGTCTAACCTTGGTTCTTTGGGCTATGCAAATCCGCGCACTTTATTAGGGAATTTCTGTCTTGATTGCAAAAGCGATTTGATTGCTTTACAGCCGACTTTTGTGATAGGAGTACCGACGGTATTTGGTCGAGTGAGGAAGGCCATATTAGAAAATTTGTCGAATGCCCCACAAGCAAAACAGAAGCTGTTTTATGGGTGCATGAAGTTGAAAAAACGGATGTATATTAACTATAACATCTGCCCTCCTTATTTATTCATGCCATTATTACATGTGATAGACACTGTTGTTTTCAAAGGTGTGAAGGAGTCGATATTTGGTAAAAAGATTAAAATGTTAATCACTGGGGGGTCTGCCCTCCCAACTGAACTTCAAACCTTTTTGACTCTTATCCTCCCAAAAGTGAGTGTAGTACAAGGGTTTGGAATGACTGAATTGTGCGGAGCGTCAAGCTGTATGCCACCGGGAGATGCTACAACATCAACTATTGGATTACTCTTTTCACATTATGAAGCGAAGTTAAGAGATGTGCCCGACTTGAATTACTTCACTAATATGAATCCACCTAAAGGAGAGTTGTTGATTAGAGGCCCTCCAGTGTCAAAAGGCTATTTCAATCGACCGACTATGACTAAAGAAACATTCACTGAAGACGGATGGGTGTGCACGGGGGATATCTGTATGATCACGGAGAACCATCACTTGTGTATTATAGACAGAATGAAGAACATCATTAAACAACCCTGTGGGGAGTATATCAGTCTTGAATTGGTTGAGTCCAATTACACCACTTCAAAAGTGGTTGATACCATTTGTGTGTTTGCGGATGCATTCCACGACTTCACTGTCGCTCTAATTCTGCCAAACAAAAAGATTGTCGAGGAAATTGCAGGGGGGAAAAGTTATGTCGAAGCTTGTCAAGACAAAGACGTGTGTGAGAAGGTCAGAGAAATTATGAGGAACAATGAAACAGGACTCAGCAATAAGGAAATTATTAAACACATCGCGTTGGTCAGTGACGAGTGGAATCCAGAAAATGATATGCTAACAGCAGCCCTTAAACTGAAAAGACCATCAATTGCTAAGAGATATAGTGAAGTCATCGAGGGACTCTTTGCATTGAATTGATTCTTCTTTTTATCCATAAAAAATCTTAGGTAAATTTATTATAATATAAGAAGTGTTTTGAGTAAAAAATAATGTTTCAATCCACTCAATAATTCAGATGGAAGTGACTTCACTCGAAGAAGTGTTTTTACACGAAGTTGTGAATTACTTAGACGTGCCGTCGTCTGTGATATTTACTTTTGTCTCTAAAAAGTGTTCTAAGACTATCTCAACACAGAAAATGGTACCAATTGGTCTTCACTCAATACAACACATGTTTCAACTCCCCACACCAAAGGAACTTAAAACAAAGCTCGACCTTTTCCCATTGAAAACGGTAGGGTTTTTCACTTTTGAAGACGTTCTTAATATAAAAAACACCGAAACATTAGAATCAATTATTTTGAATGACATCGTCGAATTGAATGAAACAAACACAGTGGCAATTAAACATTGCTCATTACTTATACACACCGCTCAATTCATAATTAACACTAAAGACTCGTTTAAACTGCTGTCTACATTCAAAAACATCAAACTACTTCACCTCTATTGCCGAGCTTCGATATCTACAGTCGATATGTTATCAACTTTTTTCGCTTTGAAAAGCTTGACAAAGGTATTCATTCACACACCTTCACATCTTTTGTCCGCTTTGAAATCGTCGGTCCAGTACGTCTTAAATCGGTCAATCAAAATTGTATTCATTGTCGACTACCTCGATTCAACAGTGCAAGACGAAGATCTTAATATAAACTTGTGTCTGATGTTACTCAATGCCC